CTTTCCATCTCTTTATGTTGTCATCCAGTTCTCTCAGAAAGGCCTTGTAATTTTCATTATATAGGTCCTTCACTTCCTTAGTTAAGTTTCTTTTTGTTGTGATTGTGAATGGTATTGTGTTCTTGAGTTCTTTTTCTGTTGGTTCATTACTGGAGTATAGAAATGCTACTGATTTATGCAAATTGATTTTATACCCTGCAACCCTGTAGTTGTTGATTACTTCTAACAGTTTTCCAATGGATTCTTTGGGGTTTTCTATATATAAGATCATGTCATCTGCAAACAGCGAGAGTTTCACTTCTTCCCTCCCTATTTGAATTCCTTTTATTCCTTTTTCTTGCCTGATTGCTCTGGCCAGGACCTCCAGTACTATGTTAAATAAGAGTGGTGATAGAGGGCATCCTTGTCTCATTCCTGTTTTCAGGGGGATGGGGTTCAGTTTTTGCCCATTGAGTATGATGTTGGCTATGGGTTTGTCATATATGGCCTTTATTATGTTGAGGTAGTTTCCTTCTATGCCCATTTTGTTCAGAGTTTTTATCATAAATGGCTGTTGGATCTTGTCAGATGCCTTCTCTGCATCTATTGAGATGATCATGTGGTTTTTATTCCTCAGTTTGTTGATGTGGTGTATCATGTTGATTGATTTGCGGATGTTGAACCATCCCTGTGTCCCTGGTATGAATCCCACCTGATCATGATGTATGATTCTTTTGATGAATTGATGAATTCTGGTTGCCAAAATTTTGTTTAGAATTTTTGCATCTATGTTCATCAGTGATATTGGCCTGTAGTTCTCTTTTTTCGTGGTGTCCTTGTCAGGTTTTGGTATCAGTGTGATGTTAGCCTCAGAGAATGTGTTAGGAAGTGTTCCATCTTCCCTAATTTTTTGGAATAGCTTGAAAAGGATAGGTATTAAATCCTCTCTGAAAGTTTGGTAGAATTCCCCAGGAAAGCCATCTGGTCCTGGGGTTTTATTCTTTGGGATGTTTTTGATTGCTGTTTCAATCTCTTTCCTTGTTATTGGTCTGTTCAAATTGTCTGCCTCTTCTTGAGTGAGCTTTGGGAGATTGCAGGAGTCCAAGAATTTATCCATTTCCTCTAGGTTATCCATTCTGTTGGCATATAGTTTTTGTAGTATTCTCTTATAATCTGTTGTATTTCTGCAGAGTCTGTTGTTATTTCTCCTTGCTCATTTCTGATTTTGTTTATTTGGGCTTTCTCCCTTTTTTTCTTTGTAAGTCTGGCTAGTGGTTTGTCAATTTTATTTATCTTCTCAAAAAACCAGCTCTTTGTCTCATTGATCCTTTCTACTGCCTTTTTTGTTTCAATAGTATTTATTTCTGCTCTGATTTTTATTATTTCTCTCCTTCTGCTGACTTTGGGCTTCATTTGTTCTTTTTTCTCTAGTTCAGTTAGGTGTGCTTTAAGGTTGCTTATTTGGGATTTTTCTTGTTTGTTAAGATGTGCCTGTATTGCGATGAATTTTCCTCTTAATACAGCTTTTGCTGTATCCCATATGAGTTGGTAGGGCATGCTATCATTTTCATTTGTTTCCAGGTATTTTTTTATTTCTTCTTTAATTTCTTCAATGATCCATTGCTTGTTCAGTAGTGTGTTGTTTAGTCTCCACATCTTTGTGCCTTTCTCAGCTTTTTTCTTGTAATTAATTTCTAGCCTTATAGCACTATGATAGGACAAGATGCTTGTTATTATTTCAATTTTTTTAAATTTGTAGAGGCTTGCCTTGTTTCCCAACATATGGTCTATCCTTGAGAATGTTCCATGTGCACTTGAGAAGAATGTGTATTCAGCTCTTTCAGGGTGGAGTGATCTATATATGTCTATCACGTCCAATTGTTTTAGTTTTTCATTCAGCTCCACTATTTCCTTGTTGATTTTCTGTCTGGATGATCTGTCCATTGATGTGAGTGGGGTGTTGAGGTCCCCTACTATTATTATGTTGTTTTTAACATCTTCCTTTAGGTCTGTTAATAGTTGCTTTATGAATCTTGGTGCTCCTGTGTTGGGTGCATAGATATTTATAAGCGTTATTTCTTCTTGATGAAGTGTCCCTTTGATCATTATATATTGTCCCTCTGTGTCTCTCTTTACCTGTCTTATTTTGAAATCCACTTGGTCTGATATAAGAATTGCAACACCTGCCTTTTTTTCCTTCCTATTTGCTTGAAGTATTGTCCTCCACCCCTTCACCCTGAGTCTGTGTTTGTCCTTGGGGCGGAGGTGTGTTTCCTGGAGGCAACAAATTGTTGGATGTTGTTCTTTAATCCATTTTGCCACTCTGTGTCTTTTTATTGGAGAGTTCAATCCATTTACATTGAGAGTGATTACTGATGCATGTGGACTTAATGCTGTTAATCTGTCGCTCATTATCTTGTTTTCCTGCGTTTCTTTTCCTGTTTGCTTTAAACTACCCATTTAATACTGCAATTTCTTATGTTGGGTTTCTTAGATTTTTCCTTATTTATGATTTGTGACTCTGTTCTGTACTTTATTTTAGTGTCTACCTTGAAGTTTGTATTTAGAATCTCGTGTATAATATAGTCTATTCTCTGGTGGTCTCTTAAACTTGACCAATACTGATTTAGACCCTTTGCTCTTCCCCTCCTAAATAATTATTTTCATTTTTTATTCCAACTCGTCTTATTCATTTGTAGTTAGAGTGCTAAGATCGTCCTTGTTTTGGTAGTTTCCTTACGTTTACCCTAATGCTATAATTGAATACTTGCTATCCTGTTCTGGTTCTATCCATCGGTCTCCCTAGTCTGTGGATTGTGTCCCCTTTCTCCCTTTTTTCTTTTTTCAGGTATGAGAGCCTTCTTGAGGATTTCTTGTAATGGAGGGCTTTTGGTTACAAATTCCCTTAACTTTTGTTTGTCTGGAAAAGATTTAATGTCTCCCTCATATCTGAAGGAAATTCTTGCTGGATAGAGTATTCTTGGCTGAAGATTTTTATCCTTTAAGGCTTTGAATATTTCACTCCATTCTCTCCTAGCTTGTAGGGTTTCTGTAGAGAAATCTGCTGACAGTCTGATAGGGGTTCCTTTATAGGTTATTCTCTTTTGTTTTCTTACTTCCCTGAGTATTTTTTCCTTATCTTTCCTTTTTGCCAATTTTACTACTATGTACCTTGGGTAGCTCTTTTTACATTGACAAATCTAGGAGATCTAAACCCTCCTCTACACACATTTCTCCGTCGATCCCTAGATTTGGGAAGTTCTCTTCAATAATTTCGTTAAGTACACTTTCTGCTCGATTTTCCTTTTCCATATTCTTGGGAATTCCTGTGATCCTTATGTTCTTACTCCTCATTGAATCCATTATCTCTTGGAGATTTTCCTCGTTTTTTTAATTCTTAGTTCTCTTTCTTCCTCTTTCTGGAGCCATTCAGCCTGTCTATCTTCAATTATGTTAATTTGCTCTTCTATGGTGTCTACACGGGCATTCAGGGAATCCGTATTCTGTTTTATCTGGTCCATTGTGTTTTTCATCTCAAGTAATTCTGTTTGATTCTTCTTTATGATTTCAAACTCTTTTGTGAAGTAACTCCAGAACTCAGTTTGTTTCTCTATCTTTCTCTCTACCTCATTGAGTTTTTTGATTATAGCTGCTCTGAATTCATTATCACTTAGTTTACCTAATTCCCAGTCCTCAGGACTTAATTCTATGTTTTTATTGTTTTCCTTCTGGTCTGGGGCTTTTATAAATTGCTGGACGGTAGAGGAGTGGTTTTTTCGCATGGTGGTAGAGTTCGGTTGCAGTTACAGCCTGTCGCCACTAGATGGGGGTCGAGAGCAGCATGTTATGAGTTCTCCGCCTTGGGGCAAGATGGCTGCGCCCACTGGCTTTGCTGGGGGGGAGGGGCTGTTACTCACACGCCCCTGTCTGGGTTCAGATCAGTTCTGTTCTCTGGTCTCCCAAGGCCCTTGATTTATGGGGTCCCTGCGGATGGAAGCTTCCCCGCCGCCCCCCCCCCCCCCCCAGCAGCGGATTTCCACTGAACCAGCGGCAGGAGTCCTGGATGATCCCCAGGTTGCGCGGCCCCTCCCCCGCTCCTTCCCGACCCGCACCGCAGCGATTGCAGACTCTGGGGGAGGGAGCGATGTTCTCTCCTACCGTTCCAGCACCTCCGAAGGTGTAAAGCTAGGTTTATGATCTCCGCCTTCTTGGTATTGTAGGTCTCTAACGAGCTGGCATTATGTTTATTCTCTGAAATTCAGTTCTTCCAATTTTTTGTTGTATTTTGGAGGGGAGAGAATCCCGGGTCAGCTCACCCTGCCATTTTGCTCCGCCCCTTCTCCCCCAGAATGTTCTTATGACTAATTAATCTCCAAAGTTTCCCAAGGAGGGAGAGGAGGAAATAATAGAGGAAAGATATAGAAAGGTTTACATTTACAGGTTAGTGGAGAGAGAGCATCTGAAGAGTGTTAGAAATCTCTACCACCAATTGTTAACATTTTGCCAAATTCATTCATTCATTCATTCTCTCCTCCCACCCACGTGCAGTATTATCTAGTTGAAGAGTATATAGATATTCATTGCCTTACTTTATCAAGTGTTTTGTAGGTATGAATATTTTAAAATAAAAATTGGAGTAAAATGCCATCCTTCTCCACACCCTATCTCTGTTTACTCCTATTCCTCAATTCTACATTGAACCACCTTTTCTTGGTAACACACTTTCTCTCACCTTTGGCCTTTTGCATATATTGTTCCCTCTGCCTGGCCTTCTTCCTTCACACACAGCCTTTGCCTGAATAACTCCCAGAAGTCTTCTGTGACCACCCAGCCCTGCTCAAGTCTAGGTTAACAGTCCTACATATGTTCCCTTTATTGGGATTGTCTTTATTGTTGCCCTTGTCATATAATATTATATGTGCTATAATATTATAGTGCTTAATATTATAATATTAAGGATGCTGGTAATAAAAGCCAGAATATGCTATGAAAGTAAGAGAGTCTCTTTTCTTGTTTTTCAGATTTTAGGCATTTTCCTCATGTCTAGGGTCCACCAATTTTAAATCTACAGCCCCTTACTCAATTCTGCACCTTTCCTTTTATATAAAATTATGTGGGTACAACCCAGGCTGCAACTTCACCCTTTACCAGCAGAAACTACTCTCTAATGAATGATGTACTCCAGAATGAAAATTCCTCAAGTGAAATGCACGAGATTAGGTAAGCTCAGTTATTTTCTAACTTAGCAAATCTTTAGATGTATAATTCTTATATTAACACAAAGGCTATTATTTCAGTTGTATGAAATATGTGGGCAGTAAACAAAGACTGGAAGGGCATGCACAGACATGGTAATTATTATTAGGGTGATAGATTTGGGAGTAATTTTTTTGTCTCTATAAATTAAGAATTGTCTTTAATTTTTAGAGTATGTACATACCCAAGTTCTTTTTGCACATTAAGGAAAGCTGAGGGTCATCTATTTTGAGTCCTAATAGATTCTTGGATATTTAACCCACTAGTTGATTACCTCTTTCCCTCTGTCTTCCCATCTCCCACCAAGAACATCTCCTTCTCATCTCCTCTTAAGAACATGCATAGAACTCTGCCAGAATCATTGGCTCAAACCACAGCATCATGCCACAGTGACAGGGAAAGACTTGTTCCTCTATTTCTCAACTCTATCACTGTTCTGTTGTGAATCAGGCCTAATGAATTCTGGCTTTTCCCCTCCTGAAGCAAATAACTTTGTTTAGGAAAGGTCAGACTTGTATCCCCACCATGCTTCAAAGAGGTGGTTCTTAGATCAAAAATCAAAATGAAACTGGAGGCATGGGCTGGCCCGGTGGCACAGCAGTTAAGTGCACACGTTCCTCTTTGGCGGCCCGGGGTTCACCAGTTCAAATCCCGGGTGTGGACATGGCACCGCTTGGCACACCATGCTGTGGCAGGTGTCCCACATATAAAGTAGAGGAAGATGGGCACGGATGTTAGCTCAGGGCCAGTCTTCCTCAGCAAAAAGAGGAGGATTGGCAGCAGATGTTAGCTCAGAGCTAATCTTCCTCAAAAAAGAAAAAAAGGAAAGAAAGAAACTGGAGGCAAGGAGATTAGTTTGGAGGTTGGGCAGTTATTCACTTGAGAGAAGATGCTCAATTAAGTCAGGAACAATAAGAATGAAGAGAAATAGATAGATTATGGAGTCATTTGGCAGTAAAGTTGACAAGAATTGATGACCAATTAATTAGGACTTGTTAGGGGTCAAAGAGGACTCTGAGAGCTCCAGCTTGGGTGACTTAAGTAAATCCTACAACTGACAAAATGTGTTTGTTTTGGATATGTTTAGAATGAGGTAACTTTAGCTGGAGGGGCCTGGTCAGTAGCTGGGAACATGTCTGGATCAGGAGTGAGTGATGAAAGCTGGAGATAAAAATTTAGAATCATCAGGTTTTTTTGGTAACTACCAAAAATGTGTGTGATCTTTTGGTTAAAGTGAACTTCTTCCTTTACATCTGCTCCATAATATGTGTTTGAGACATTTTTACTCTTTCCGTGCTGTTAATGATAGGATTCCGGACCACCATTTGCCTAGGGAGCAACTGAGTACCTGAAGCAGAGAGAAAGCTCAAAGGGAAAGACTTGATCATTTAGTGAACTCAGAATGTATCTGTGCTCTAGGAATAAGAGACTAGGCTGGCCTTCAAAGGACAAAGAAGAACCTAGAGATCCACTTTCACAGCCCTTTCTGGCATGTAACTCCAGAGGGGTTTTTTTGGTTTATTTTAAAATCACTAGCTGGACCCTAATGCAAATGTGAGCAGAGTCCTGCAGGCCTCTTCTTTCCACTCCTGGGAGCTGGCTCAGTGTGGCCACACCCATGTGAATGCTCTTAAAGAAAGTTGGTTACCCTTTGTGCTGCCATTTCAACTGACCAGTAGTCCAATGACATTTATGTGGTGAGGATTACCTGACCCTCTCTACAATGGCTGGTAGTTAGCTAGTGCGACTATTCTTTTTCCTTCGCTGAGCGGGTACACATCTGGAGGGCCCTGGAAACCCTTTGGGAGATCAGCCTAATACTAGCTCCTAAGCACTGGGGGATCCCCTTTCTAACAAGACCATTTCCTCGATTGGGGGCTTCCGTAGCATCATAGTTACCTATTGTTCTTTTCCTACAAATGCATAAAGCATTACTATGGGGAAGGGTCATTCTCAACTGTAATGGGGGCAGGAGACCACGCTCTATGTGAATGTTTGCCCTGCTGAGTGCAGTGCAGCTATGCCCAGTCTAAGCATACCACTGTCACAAGAGCTCAAAGGATTGCCGTGCTCCTTCAAATCTGCTTGGAAGTTTTTACCCAAATAAGCCCCCTTTTATGTAGATTATGTAGTGCTAGGGGTAAGTGTGTTTGTGTCCCTTTTGCGTGACTTTGGCCAACACACAGATGTTTTCAGTCTTTAAGGACTGCAAAAAGGATTTTAGTGAGAAGGAAAGAAAAAAGAAAACAACTATTTCCTATCCTGAGAGCCCTAGGGCAGAAAAGATTGTAACCTATCTCTAGCCCAAAGGCAGCCTTAGTATTTGGCAATTTAGTGTAGTCACATGGAGCCAAATTGCCTCTATCACTCACTTCTTCTCCTTTGAAGATTAGACGCACACTAGCTTTATTTTTCATCTTTTCATACTCTACGGTCTTTTGTAACATTTAAAATAGTAACCTGTGGTTTGAGGAGGCCATTAGCCAATTCATTTCCCTTAACAGCACCCACCTGCTGAGCCATTGTGCTCTAGTCTTCTAGCATCCTCTGACCCGGTTTGAATCAGTAGCTATCTGGACAAGGCTTTCTGTTGTGTCCCAACTGTTCAAACATTAAACATTTATTCTTGGTCAAATAGGGGGGAAAAAAGCGAAATTGTTCATATCTTTCCTGTTAGAGTTGCCTTGATATTCATTTGCCCTGCCCAACACATTTACTTCGTAATAGCTAATTTTTATTAGTTCCTTCATATATGCCAGTGTTATGGACTGAATTGTGTCCCCAAAAATTCATATTTTGAAGTCCCAACCCCCAGTATTCCTCAGAATGTGACTGTAATTGGAGATAGGGCCTGTAAAGAGGTAATGAACGTTAAATGAGGTCATTTGGTGGCCCTAATCCAACATGACTGGTGTCCTTATAAGAAGAGGGGGACACCAGGGATGCAAGTGCACAGAGGAAAGGCCGTGTGAGGACAGAGCTAGAAGGCGGCTGTCTGCAAACCAAGAGAAGAGGCCTCAGGAGAACCAAAGCTGCTGTCACTTTGATCTTGGGTTTCTGGCCCCCATTTCTGTTGTTTAAGCCGCCACCCAATCTATGGTATTTTGTTATGTCAGTCCTAGTAAACTAAAACAGTCAGGAATGTCATAACTGCTTTTTATGAATTGATCTCTTTAATAGTCTCAGTTAGCAAATGAGGCAGGTACCAATGAGACAGGGACTCCCAATATAATTTTTGCACACAGCACAAACTCTGTTCAGAGGATGCTCAGGTACTCTGGCTCATAAATGGGTGAGGTGGGGAGAGGAATTAAATGGAGCCAAGCACTTTCCTGACACATGTCTAACTGATGGTGCTCCTGATGCTGTCTAACTGTGCCTACTCCTCGTTCATTATGTTAAGGGAGAATGGTAATGCCCTGCTTTACACCACAGCAAATTCTTACAAGGGTTTATTTATGGAACTGATAAGTCCCTTCTGATCATTCACTGTTCACTTCTAATTTTTTCTTCTATTTTGGTCTCCTTCTTACCCTTCTCTAGGAAATAGCTGGGTAAATATATTTGCATATAACTATCTTTTTCCTTTCCTATATATACTAGTTAAAATTGTGGATCTCAGAGATTATCAAGTTTAGAAACAGACACAAGTATATATAAGAAAATACAATATAATAAAATATTTTAAGAAGTCATTGGGGGTAAGGATGAGTTAATTAATAAATAGTATTGGAGAATCACTTGAAAAGACAATAGATTACCTTACCTTACCTCACAGATTATACCAAAAATTAATTTCAGATGGAGTAAAGATTTAAATGTTAAAAAAGAAACACGGAAGTATTAAAATATAAACTTGAATATTTTTATATAATCTAGGGGGGAAGAAGGCATTTCTAAACATAAGTACTAAAAGAAGGAACAAAAATGGAAAAAACTGATAGATTTGGTAAGAGCAGTGTGGTTGGTCATGGCAGAGTGGAGAGGACCATCTGTGATCCAGTGCTCAGCATTAGTGGATTCAAGGAAGAATTTATAGTAATTAAATCTGTTCTTTCCAGGTATACTTGAGGACAAATAACAAGGAATGCATAAGCTGGCCTCAGGAGACATTTTGGATCATCTGGTAAAGGCTTCACCTCAGCAGATTACAACCATCTTCTAAAGTCTTGGAGATAGTCCCCAAGGAACTTATTGGGAACACAACAAGGTGGTGCCTTAGAGGGAGTGAGGAGGAGGCTTGCAGTTTCACTGCCAGCCCCTTTGTGAGTCAGGGGAGGGCTCTGGCGGAAGATGTGCAAGTGGGGAAGCCATGCAGTCTCCTCCAAGGAGAGGGGCCATCCTCAGATGGCTGAAGTTCATGAGCAACCAAGTTGAAAGTCGCCAAAGAATGTTCATGTTTTAATACATATAATAACACGATAGCCAATGTTTATGTAACGTTTTAAATTTTTTATAGGACTTTTACACACAACCGTGCTCTTTCAGAAATAGTATGGGTTATGATGATAGATTTGAGTTTGAATTCTGGTTCAACCTATTGGCTATGTGATCTTAGGTAAGTTACTTAACCTCAGGACCTGTTTTCTCCTCTGTTTTCACCACCTCAGCAGTGGTGCTCTGGTCAAGGTGATACCCACTTATGGGATAAGGATTGAGTGAGACAAATCCCTAGTATGACATTTGACACATGGGAAGCACTTGATTTCCTTTCCTTCTCTAAATATGGTTATTTGCATCAGTGGACCTCAAACTTCCACGATAGTTACTTGTTTATAAAGGTAACATTTTCTCTTCATCTATGTTTCATGTTACACAGTGGTTCTTAACTCCAGCAATGGGGGTGGAGGTGGTGATGTCTATGTTGTTAAAAAGCACCTGCACCTCTCTACTCCCTCACTGAGAATCACTGGTCTACACTTTGGTACCCTAAGTATCTCTCGCTAGTTTCATATTTTTGTTTGGTATTTTTCATTCAGCTTGATTTCAGTGAAGTAAGGATTTGCCTCCATAGGAGGGCGATACATTAAGCTAATGAAAAAGATAGTTGATAAATTACCTTCTCATGTGTAGCTAGATGCCAGGGGGCATTTTTTTCTTGGGGTGAAGTATTAATGGAAAGAATGGTGGAAAGACTGAGGGTACTCAGGGCCTACTGGAGGGTCAGTTGGGCCATATGGGAGAAAATGGAAAAAAGGGACGGTGAGAGGAACTGAAGACAATTGTTTTTCTCATAGATCCTCATTTGGTAGTCTGTGACTTGGCTTCTTCTGGAGTACCTACTGCCTCGCAATAGAAACTGTTCTCTTTATGCTGTGCCTCTGTCACACTTCCTGTCTCACCTACCCTGGATAGGAGACCTGGACCCAGTGCTTGAGTCATATATGGCTACCTGAGCCGACTCATCAAAGTCATATTAAGTTCCTTAAGGTCTTGGAATTTTATTTGTCAAAATGTAAATAGTTCTGCCTATAATGATACGTGAATGGTTGCAAATAAAATTTGGTAACTGCAAATATGGAAGGCAAAGAGAAAGGAAATTGTCTCGGTCTACTATGACCCGCTCACAGGCTAGATTAACTTAGCATCACTTTTGACTTGTTCTAAAGAAGGGCCGTAGGACCAAGTTATCCATAAAGTTCTTTTTGGAAGTATTTAAAGTTTTGGGTAAGGGACCTCAAAATTGAAATTACTAAGGATACTTCTTAAGCCAGGCAGAGAGATTTGAACTGGAGATAAGACAGAGCTGAAGGTCAAGTTATGACTTTGAGAAAAGACAGGCGTATCATTACCTGGGAGAGCCATGCCTTTCAAATAGACACAGAGGCTCCTGTAGTTGTAACTACAGACCTCCCTTCCAGGCTCTGACTTAACTGCTTTGGCCCAGCAGACACCATCAGTAAACAAACCCTCTTGGGAGTATCTGCTTGACCCTCTTTTATAAAAATAAACTTCCAAGGGCTGCCTGGGCCCCGTCCTTATTTTGTCATCATCTTCAAGGGAGTCTGGGTACACACTAATGAAGAGCAATAGACAAGACTGCGTGTGATTTTGTGCTAAACTGCATATATAGACAAGATAAGAGAATAAAATCCTGGTGCATAAGACCACTCAGAGACGGCTTCCTGGGGAAAGAAGAATTTTTGCTTCAGGGTAGGTAGAATTTAAAGAAAGGCAAGAGAGAGCATAGCCCAGGTTCTGTTTTATGTGACTGTTAATTTTCACTCATGGCTCCCATACTGAAACTCATGGAGATGATGGATGAGAAAGAGGATATAAGACAAGGTTAGAAGAAGCAAGGAGCTCAGGCACATAGTAAGACAGTCTGAATTAGAGCAGCCAGTTGAACATGTGGAGACTTCACCGGCTGGAGGGAGATTGAGAATTACAAGTTTCAGTAGAACCAAAGCACACCACATATACCCTCAGGCAGAAGCCTTATTATGCAATAATGACCCCGTACACGCCCCATTTCCCAATTAACAATGCACAGATTGAGGTCACTGTGCACTTAAAACAAATCTTCATACAACCTGGGTAGAGCTGGTAGCCAACACTTTACCTTGAAGTTTGATTTGTGCGTTTCCTCAGATATTTAATACTTCTGAAATGTTTTAGCCTTTGACATCTAGATTTGAGCTTCCCAAATGTTTGTAGCGTACATTATATTCTGGTCCTTGCACTTCAGCTGATATGATGCATCTGTTGTCTAATGCGTCTGCTGTGCGCTCATGGACAAGGCCAAAGAATTAATCTGGGTTGGGAGTGTTTATGCTTTCACAGTTTGCTTTCTCAGTTTTGTTCATCATTGTTCTCTTCTTGTAAAAGGCCTATTGGGACCAAGCTGGGAATGCAGCCGAGAACCCCTGGGAATTTGCCCATTGGCAATTAAGTTTTCTATAGATTTTATCCCTGTGCCAAGTACCAGTGTGGTTTTTGGCGAGTTGTATAACCTGGGGATAGCCGATTACCCACACTTCACCCTGAGCCTCTGCGTCTTCATCTGAAAAGTGAAAGGACTAGGAAAGATGATTTTGAGGTTCTTCCACCTCTAAGATTTGAGAATTTGATAATTCCTGAGTAATAAAAGTCAGATTTTTTTGACACTAGAGCAATGAGTTTGTCCACTTATACGTATGGTCCCACATTTATCTGCCTCAAGCTCACTGTCACCACTTATTTTTCCAGATGGAGACATGCAAGGCTGGTAAAGCCTAGTGGAGTTTACTTAAGAAACTAGACCCAGCCACTGGGCCCATGCTCACCGGCTCCCATCATTCACTTCCATTCATTTATCCATTCATTCAACAAACATTTATTGAGGGCCTATTATGTGCTAGGTACTAATCTTTAGAACTTCATCTATGGCTTTTTATTCATCTTGCCTTATACTCACTTTCTTTGACAAATCAGGCACACAACAGTATAGGAAATATGTATTTAATCATTCTCTTGAACTGTCAGAACTCTAAAATCAAGCTTTCTATAACAAAATGTAATATAGTCATGGTAGGTCCAAAGTGACAGGGAGGCAGTGGTCAACCGTGAAAAGTGTGGAAAGGAGGCTGGAAACAGTATTTTTTCTATCAAAGCTTCATTCCTCAGGGCCTTGTTTTAAAGCTTCCTTGCCCCTGCTTTCAGAAGTCTCTTTGTTTTCAAGGAAGGTTCATGTTTTTGTTGCCTTAATTTGAATTTTGACTAGGCAGGGTCCTGAGATCAAAATTCAGAGAGAACTTGAGATGGATCTCAGGCGGCTCTCTCATGGAACTTGATTTGTAGAGTAGAATGCAGGGAAAGAAACTTAGAAGCTCAACCAGCTGATAATCCCATCAGGAATTCCTGGTTGCCCGAAAGGGTTCTGGCTCTCTGTGCTGAGGCAGCAGCCAGAGACAGTCTAATGGCTATTTTTAGGAAGCAAACAAGTTTGTTTGCTCTCCTCCTTTTAGTTCTTTTTCTCCTCTACATCAGTGTTTGTTAATCTCAGCACAATTGACATTTGGGGCTGGATAATTCTTTGTTGTAGTGGATGTCCTGTATATTATAGGATGTTGAGCAGCATCCCTGGGTTCTATCCACTAGACGCCAGTAGCACCACTCCCCTCAAGGTGTGACAACTAAAATTGTCTCCAAGCATTTCCAGATGTCCCCTGGAGGGTGTGCAAAATCACTCCGGTTGAGTCCCACTGCTCTAGATGCTGTTGAAAGCTGAGGTCATCACTGTCCATGCAGGATAGAAAATAGAAGCCTCAAACCTTGTGATGACATAATGCCACATACAGTCAAGATGAGAGGTCCTTTCCTAGACCATTCAAGGATGAACATCGTCTGAGAGATAAAAATGGCATTGTTTTAAAAAGGAAGTGCTCAGATAATTTAGATAAACAGTGTCACTTAACTACATTTTTTACATTAAAATTATAATCATTTTCCACATTTCTTTAGCATTTGTCAGGTGGTAGGAGATGCCAGGCCACTGTTGGAAGCATCATAATCATAATGAAAAGTGAATCATTTGACCCATCACTAAAATGCAGCCACCTCTGAATTGTGAAGTGGCAACTGATTAGCAGCTTCTTACTGTATCCACTACAGTTTAATCTGTGAATTATAAAACATGGTTATATTGCAATCGGAACTTACTAGGAACTTCCTCAGAGCAGCATTATAGCAATATAACTAAAGATTCAGAGTCAAGGGAGACGCGGTATCCCATCCTCTCACTCCCTGCATGGGGATGGGTAAGGGAGGTCCCTGAGAAATGGGGGTGCACGTGTCTCCACATGCCTTTTACTTAGCAGTCTCAACACACTTCTCTGGTTCAGATGAATTCTTTTCTCAACTTTTAATATATGTCTTTGAAGGTGTATTTATCTTGCTCATATTGGAGTCTTCTGTGGGTTGCTTTTGGCTTCTTTTTGCTTCTTGATCTTACTTGTTCACTCAAGACTTCTAGACATGAATTCATTCCCCCCCAGAAATATAAAACTAGGTCATATCTTGTGGTGAAATAGTTCTTTAGATCCCTGGGATTCTGAAAATAACAGCAATAAGATACCATTACAACCATTCAGCAAACATTTGTTGAGAACTGGAAGCCCCCTGCCACTGCATGAGTGTATCTCTTGTTCAGAAATGGACTTGTTTGCCTGTATTTTCATGACACTCTATCAAGGCCACATGGTACCATGGGTTTTTGGGGGAAAGGAGATGGTTTGAGTCTGTCCCTAAAGGAAGAGATCATTCTCAGAGCAAACAGATGAGATCAGCACGTTCAGAGTGGTGTGGCTGTAGACTCTCAGAGCAAACAGGAACTGAGAGATGCTCAAGGGATAATTTCCTCAGTTTCCTCCAGTGACAACCATTGAGGTTGGAAATGATGGGAACTGGCAGGTTTCCTTAGTAGAAAACCTATTTGTGCGCTGCACAGTAGTGAGTGTTTGGAGAACAGGAGAAAGAATGAAAAGCAGATCAACAGATCTTTGCCTGCCCTTGAGGACTGAACAATCTAGGAATGGAATATATGTGCCTTAGAGAATATAAGATATCATAAATTATACATGCATGCCAAGGGGATGTGAAATGAAAGGACCATCAGGAAAGGGGGTGTAGGCTAGGAAGCACTTTATTGAAATGGGTGAAGGAAGTGTGAATCTGAATTGCCATGGGGTAGAGGAGATTTCCAGGAAGGGGCAGTGAGAGAGGGAGCAAGGCCAGAGAACAGTAGTAGGCAGCTGAGGGAAGAAGGAAGCTCAGGGAGAGAAACTGTTAGAGAGCTGTGACTGCACAGCAGAGGATTTTACCTCTGATACGGTAGTGTCCAGAGAGTCACTTTAGGTTCCAGAGCAAAGGGATGCTGTGGTGAAAATAGTGTTTGAGTCATTTTATTCTGGCACCTTGTTTCCCGTCGCCTGAAGCGGGGAGAGGAAGGAGCAAGCACAAGGTTTTAGAACTAGTCTGGGTGTGAGATGATGAAGGCTGGATTAGGGTCAATCTGAGGCAACACAGGAAGGTGCTGGAGGGCTTGGTAACAAAATGACGTGAAGGACTGAGGGGACAAAAATAGCTCTAAGGTTGTGAGCTTGGAGGCATGGTGGTGATGTCACTGAGTCTTGATGTGGTAGATACTTCACAAATAGCAGTGAAATCCAGAGTAACTGGAGAGGGCTAAGCAGCAATTTCTCTTCAATAAGATATTTTTGCCTTCATGGATGACTCAGTCAATGGAAAGGTGTTTGCATTTACACAAATATTTAAATTGCATAGAGTTGTTTTTCCTGTAAGTCTGTCAAGGAGGTCTGTAGGCTTTGTTAACAAATGCTTACCTTTCACAATGCCAGTGGAAATAGTGCCAACTGCCCTGGCGTTAATAAGTGTTTCTCTCTGAGGCTGATGCTAGAGGCTGCTTGACTCTTGTTAGGAACACCAGCACACACAGAATGGACTCCCCCACACCATTTGTGACTCATCTCACCTGTTGTACCGGTGACTTTGCATGTTTCTGTATGGCCAAGGCTTATTATTTTAGCATCAGGTGAGGGGAGAGAGGCAGGAGTGCCCAGGTGATGGCAAAGAAGGAAGAGACACCCAGGGAGGCCTTTGAGGTCAGCAGCTGTAGGTGACTCCGCCTTTTAATCTCAGAGTCTGTAAGGGGCGACAAAGAAGTTCAGGGTCATAGAGGAAAAGCTGGATGTCATCTTTATATGGCTGGTTAGCAAACAAAAGTAGCTGAAATACAGAGCAAGTTGTTCCTAATGCAACTTGTACCCCAATTTGGGGGCAATATTGTACCCCATTCTCTACCTTATTGTCACTGGCTTAAAAGCAGAGCTGTCCCTTCCTTCAAAGAAAGTTCTATTCTGTGGAACTTCCACTCCAGTGAGCACTCAGCCAGATGAAAAACCACACCAATAAAGAGATTGTTATTGCTTACCAAATAAAGAATAGGCTAAACCAACAGTCACGGCCACTCCTTGGTTTCAGACACATTTTTACCCCCAGGCAATGACCTTTATATGTTCTGTGTCATTCATTTTCATCACACCACTACAAAGTGATGAGAAAGCATTGTTCTCATTTTGAAGTAGAGAAAGGTAGAAGTGAGGGAGTGAAATTACTCTTCTTTTACTCTGTTTTCTCCCTAGGCAATCCAGTCTCAATTCATTTCAGCTCTGACACTTACTAGTTGTGTGACTTTAGGCAAGTTGCTGGATCTATACATGCCTCAGTTTCTTCCTTTATGAAACAGAGCTAAAATAATGATGATCTACATCATAGGGTTCTTATGAGGATTAATGAGTCAATACATGTAAAGCGCTTAGAACGGTGCCTGGCACAATAGTAAGCACTCAATAAGTATTAGCTATAAAAACAACAGTAACCTCACTCAAGCCTAATAAGCATTACTTCCATTAACCTGATCATTTCCAACGCCACCTCCTTAGCCTGAACTCTGTCCTGAGTTCCACATCTGGATTTACAGTTGCTACTGTGTATGTCAGTTAAAAACATAATTATTCAATACATATTTTTGAGCACCTACCGTTGGGGTTCAAAGGACTCCAATAAATAACACCTTGTTCCTCAGCTGGGTTCTCAGCCAATTAAAGAGTAAGACAAAAAGAGTGAGGCAACTGGAAGACCAAAATATCACCTTCATTACTGATAAATCTGATAATAAAGGATGAAACTTTGTCTGCAGGCAAGTGGGCTGCAGCCCAGACTTTGACAGGCAGCACCAGACTGGGGCAGGCTTCCTCCTGCAAGGGCAAGATTTTATCCCTGGAAAACTGATGGCTCTGAGGGGCAGAGTAGAATGTATGCTTCCTGAGGGTTAGCTAGAGAGAAAAGGAAAAAGAAGGAGCTGAGCTACTTATGTTCAGCTTCTCCTAATAAACTCATCAATCAGATGAATCAACCCTCCTTTTCTGGGGAGGAGTGAAAGAGGGGAGAAGCAAGAGGCTAGAATGGTTGCACTGGTGGGGCTTCCTTGTGGAAGGAAATATGTGGAGTAGAGATGAAGCATTCTCCCCAAAACTTATTGTATGCTGGGCAATGTGCTAAGCATTGGACATCTCTTCCTAGGTACACAGTGGACACTTTCAACTCAGCATCTCTAAAACTCTCATCTTCTTTCCAAACATGTTGCTTCTCCTATGATTTCGTTTTTTTGTTGATAGCATTACTAACCTCCTAAACAACCTGGGTAGACATATCAGACCCATTTTGACTTGTTCTTTCTCTTGTCCTTCACGTTTGTGTCACCAAGTCCTGTAAATTATTGTCTTCATTAACTTCTGATTCTTTCCCCTTTCCTTCCCATTGCCATTGCCCCAGTTAAGGCCTTCATAATTTCTCCACTGGACCATTGACATGGGTTCCTGACTTCATACCTTCCTATTCTATCAAAACTATTCTTCTCCTTCAAAACCCAGCTTGAACTCTGCCTCATCTACTGAGTCACTGCAGTCATAATTAACAACTGTTCCCCTAGGCACCATATCTACACTGTGATTAACTTCTCTTATGACAATTGTGCTATTCATCTCAGCATTTCATGGGACTTAAAATTTGCTTTGTACCTGTTTGGCACATAATAGATACTTGTTGAATGAATGACCTAAATTAGCAGTATTGTCATAGAACACAGGATATAAACCACATGGCCTCATAAAATTGTTTTAAAATGTGTATTGAGTACCTACCTATCTGTGTATGGCAAGAAGGAATTATGTTATTTTATAAATTTTGAGCTATGTCTTGCTGCCAAAAGTTGTATTTAGTCCTAGTACTGATAAATGGAACACTTGTTCTCATGTATCCAATAAGCATGTATGGAAAAAGAATCTGCTCAATGAATAAAAGATGTACTCAAATTCTGTGGTTTGTTCAGTTATTGCGCCTTCTATTAGAAGGCATTATTTATACTGGGAGCTTTTTATTGAGATCTGAACTGAGATACTGTTGTTAACACCTATTGTTTTAAATGCCAATGCTTCCTTCCCCCTTTCTCTTCCGAGAAAACCTTCCATCAGGTACCACCTCATTAGTCTAGGTGTGGGCAACTGACCCAACTTGAGCATGCCTGCGAATGTACGAAAGGAGTGAGGGATTGAGGTTCAGTCTGGTTACTCCCTTGAGTGAAAGAGACTTTTAAAGCTAGGAGTTGTTGGTAACCACATCCTGCCCTGTAGACTGAAACAACAGAGAGTAAATTAGAGAGTAAAGAGAGAATAAAGAAGAAATGAGAGACAGAGAATACCAATGGAATTTAAGTTCCTGGTTTCAGCTGTTCGTGAATCCAAATTGCACTTTCTGTCCTTGTTTCCACAAGACATCCTAGTACCCTTTTAATAAATTCCCCTTTTTGCTCAGGCTTACTTGAGTTGGTTTTCTGTTGCAGGTAACTAAGATTATTCTAACCAGTACAGTCACCGTTTGTTCCTCAGGATGGCGGAAGAACTCTCTCTTTATATATGTATAATTTTTTTTATTAGATAACTTTTTTTTATTGTGGTAAAAAAATACCATAAAATTTATCATCTTAATCGTTTTTAAGTGTCTAGTTCAGTAGTGTTAAGTATATCCACATTGTTGTGAAACAGAGCTCCAAAACTTTCCCATCTTGCAAATCTGAAACTCTATACTCATTAGACAATAACTCCCCTTCCTTCTCCCTCCCCACTAGCTGCTGGTAACCAGCATTCTACTTTCTGTTTCTATGAACTTGACTACTTTAGATACCTCACATAACTGGAATCATATAGTATTTGTCTTTCTCTGACTAACATGTCACTTAGCATAATATCCTGAAAATTCATCCATGTAAAAAGATTTCCTTCCTTTTTAAGGCTCAATAATATTCCACTGTATATATATACTGCATTTTGTTTATCCATTCATCTATTCATAGACATTTTGGGTTGCTTCCACCTTTTGGCTATTGTGAATAATGTTGCTGTGAACATGGTGTGTATATATCAATTTGAGACACTGCTTTCAATTCTTTGGGGTATGTACACAGACACAGAATTGCTGGATCATATGGTTGTTCTATTTGTAATTTTTTGAGGAACTTCTATACTGTTTTTCCATAGCAGTTGCATCATTTTACAATTCACCAACGTGCACAAGGGTTTCAGTTTCTCCACATCCTCACCAACACTTTATTTATTTATTTTTGATCATAGCCATCCTAATGGGTGTGAGGTGATATTGTGTATTTGATGTGTATTTGATTTGCATTTCTCTGATGATTAGTGATGTTGAGCATCTTTTCATATGCTTGTTGGCTGTTTGTATATCTTCTTTGGGGAAATGTCTATTCAATGCATTTGCCCATATTTTAACTGGGTTATTTGATTATTTTGTTGTTGAGTTGTAGGAGTTCTTTATGTACTCTGAATATAAACCTCTTATCAGATAAATGATTTGCAAATATTTTCTCCTGTGCCATTGACTTTTTTTTTTTTAAAGATTTTATTTTTTCCTTTTTCTCCCCAAAGCCCCCTGGTACATAGTTGTATATTCTTTGTTGTGGGTCCTTCTCGTTGTGGCATGTGGGACGCCGCCTCAGCGTGGTTTGATGAGCAGTGCCATGTCCGCGCCCAGGATTTGAACCAACGAAACACTGGGCCGCCTGCAGCAGAGTGCGCGAACTTAACCACTCGGCCACAGGGCCAGCCCCCCATTGACTTTTAATATATATAACTTTAAATAAAAAAATAAGCTGATGAAAATATGATTTATTGAGTTAAATTCAGCAAACATTTATAGTGTACTTACAATACACAAGGTCTTCTGCTTGGCACTAGACTTTATTTAAGACAGCAGTTTTCCTGACATACTCCTTTCTCTACAGTTTGAATTCAGTTTAGCCCTGGGAGGTATGGTCTTAAAAGTCATAATTCAGTCTGTGCATTTTCTTAACACTAGCTCAACCATAGGTTGTGTATCCACTAAAGCACTGCAGGGAGACTAGGGTGCCAGTTCAATCTAGAGCTTTCAGATTGATCATGGGCCAGTATTAGTGGGATCTTGAGCCAGTCCCAGAAGGCTTGAATAAGACTAAATCAGACTCGTAAGACCTTTAGTCTTCAGATTGAAAAACTTCTCAAAGGCAGGCTAGAACCAAACCAGTTTTGGAGGGCTTGAGATTTAGATCATGACCTGAATATATCAAAGATGTCAAATAATTGTGGCTTCCCCACTGCTCCACCAAAGCAGTCCTCCTGAGTAAGGCTCAGAATCGTAAGCACTGCTTTCCAGGCAACCACTGCCTATCAATGAGAAGGCATACAAAATGAAGCCTGATTGCCGTCTTTGACCTATATGCCAAAAACATTGTTTTGTGTTAGTCTTCTTCTTACGTACTATAGTCCCAGCTGGAATTGTCATCAAGGTCTCAAGGACTCTAGAGCTTTCTGTACCCTGGTACATAATATATCTGTTAAAGAAATTAGATTTTAATTTAGATTTGATTCTCCCCCCAATAAATCCATACAAAAAAGGTGGAGGAACTCACCTGTCACTTTGATATCCCCCGTGGCTTTGGCAATGTTGTTCTCAATCATACAGGAGTATGTGTTGTTGATTGTGACATTGTAGAGTACAGACACAACCTTCATGGTCACATTCTCAGAGTTCAGCTCAAAGCTGGTGTTGGAGACTTTTGAGAAGTTGGCTCCCTGGTCAACCTGGGACGCCCAGACGACTGTAGGCTGGGGGAACCATCGGGGAGCCTCACATCGTAAGCTCTCTGAGCTGGCATTATATTCCACATTCACTTCTGGGATGCTGAAGGCTGCAGAGTTGAAGGTTAAAAGGGGCAGATGTCAAGGTCAGACAGATAAGGCAACATAAAGGCAACATAAGGCAACTTTGAAGTGCTAGGTCTTAAAAACAGTCATTTCCACCATTGAACTGACTCAGTACTTGTCCAGTGGGCTGTCCGTGTATGGTCCATTGTAATGTAGATGCAAATAATGATTTGCCGTAGTATTGCTATACATCACAATCCTTTGACCAATATCACAAACTCTAAGAACTTAAGTTCTAGGTATAATTGTTAAAACAGATAAATTTCTCCAAGGAAGAGGAGTTCCAGTGATCACAAAAACGTTTATCCCTTAGGGAAATTGAGCATTTTCCCAGGCACCTGTGAAGCCTCCTGGATTTTATGTATTTTTCTGCCTGGAGGATAAAGTCAGGGGGCGGGGAACAGAGAAGGAAGAGACAAACGGCATTCACCTGTCACCCACAGAAATTCCATACCCAGGCCTTGTTATCATGGGGATTTGGAATTTGCTTGGGTGGAGACGGTCCAGCCCTGGTATTCAGGGATAGAGACCGGCATTTGTTTTCTCCTAAAACAGTTCTTACTGGAGAGGTCACTGCATTTTGAAAGACTAGCTTCCTTCTCTATCTAGGTAGAGGGTCACTTGTGGAAAAATGTTAAGGCCCGGAATTTTGACTATAAAATGCTTATTATGCCAAAATGGTAAGATACAATTGATTAATTTATTTAGCATCTTCCTTTTCCTGGGACGATGCTGGTGCTGAGTGAGTGGTGAAAGGAAAGCCCTTGCCTTGCCCTTAAAGAGCCTGTTGTCTAGCAGAGGAGGTGAGATGACGTGAGAAACTGAGTGTACCTCACAATGAACCACCATCTATTGAAGGTGTACCCTCTGCCAGGTACCAAATTCCAGACATTATTTCATTTGATCCTCACAGTAGTCCTAGGGATATCTGTTGCTATCTCCATTTTTAAAAATAAGCTTTTAATTTTGGAATAATTTTAGATTTACAGAAAAGTTGCAGAGATGGTATGGAGTGTTCTTGTATACTCCTTACCCGGTCTCCCCTAATGTCAGTGTCCGAAATAACCATGGTGCATTTATCAAAATTGAAAAACTGTCATTGGTACGTTACTATTAACTAAAAGACAGACTTTATTTGTATTTCATCAATTTTTCCACTAATGTCCTTTTTCTGTCCTAGGATCCCATCCAGAATACTACATTGCATTTATTTGTTATATCTTCTTGGGTTCCTCTGCTCTGTGATGGTTTCTCAATCTTTCCATGTTTTTCATGACCTTGACGGTTTTGAGGAGTAATGGTCAGGTATTTTGTAGGATGCCCCTCTGTTGGAATTTGTCTGATGTTTTTCTCACGATTAGACTGAGATTATGGGTTTTGGAGAGGATGAAGACCATAGGAGGTAAAGTGCCCTGCACAGCCCATCACATCAGAGAGTGCATGCTATCAGCATGACTTCCATCACCTGGCTGAGGCACTGCTTGCCAGGTTTCTTTGGAAGCTGGACTCACTAAGTCTAACACACCCTGAGTGTGGTGGTGATGGGGGAGTAACCTCTACCTCTTGAAGGGGGAGGACCTAAATACATCTGTAAAGATTTGTTTCATCTCCCTTATATTTATGTAAGTATGGACTCATGTGTATTTATTTTATACTTAGAGTTATAATTTAATACTATATTGTTTATTTTTTTATTCAAATTGTTCCAGCTATTGGAATCCCTTTCAGTGGGCTCCAGTGTCCCCTTGACATGACCCTATTAATTCCCATTTTAAGATGAAGAAACTGACACTCAGCAAGGGTGCCTTGCCCAGGCCATCTACTTGCCCAAGTCTCGCTCTAGATCTAAGCTTCAAACCATTACATACACATGTTATGAGGTGTCCAAGAAAGGCCTGTGCAGACTAGCTTTGGCTGGGAGGCTTCAGGATACTTTCTGCCTGTCCTTCAAGCTCTTCTCAATGGCGGCCAAATTCTCCACGGGGTCTTTCCCATCCCTTCCCCTCCCTATGTATTTGGATGTGGTATCTTTCTTCCCCTGAATTCCGAAGTCACTCTATTGTCATGTTAAATTGAGTTGGTAAGGAAGGGTGAATTTCATTGGGGGAGAATTAGTGAGTTTATAGGACAATATTGTTTTGGTAAATTCCCTTTGAACTTCTCTTAAAATGTGTCCCGTTGTCATGAGTTCCTGGAAGTACTGATTTCAGACTTGGGCTCGGGCCTACTTAGCATAGAAGAGTCTCAGAACAGATTACAGGTTTCTCTTACTAGCAATACCAGAGGCTACCATAAAAGAGACTATGTTTATTTTGGCAAAATATTTCAAGGAACATACCTGAAAATTCAGAAGAGGCTAGTGTCCAGAACAAAAGATTTGAAGACCTAATATTATACATGGTGGGCTACCTTCGGAGCTGGTGTGGGTCTAGGACAGCAAGGATGGCTGCTAGCAGAATTTGGAGGGCCTTTGTGTGATACTGGTCCCTCATGAGCATAAGCTGATGTTTCATCAGCAATCCATGCCTTTAGCCTCAAATATCTTTTGGCACTTTCCTTCCCTCCCTTCAAAAGTAACTCACCTCCAGTTTTATACTCAAGGTTAGCATTCCCCTTGCCTTTAGAAGTGATGATGTAGCATTTGTAGGTGCCAGCATCTGTGAGTTGCACGTTTTTTAGCCTCAAAGAGGCATTGCCGACAATCACCTGGTCAGCAAACACTGCTGTCCGGCCTCTGAACATTTCATCTTGGTCTGACAGGTCATCTTTGCCTTCTTTGAACTCATGGACCAAGCCCATAGCACCTTCCTTCAGCCACTGTATCACAATATCAGAAAGTTTGATGTCTGGTTCAAAAGTGCAGCTCAGGATTCCATCCTCTCCAATGTTCCCAGCTGAGGTGAGGGTAGTGACTGTGATAAAGTGTTTGCCTGCAATTCAGGAAGCAAGGGTCAGCTCCAAGGGAAGCTCTGGAACTTCGACAACCAAACCCTCCATTACTAGAAGCCAAACAGAGACTTCTGTAATAAATTAGAAATATATAAGAATAGGAGAGGCATAAAAAAAGAAGACACAAGAAGAATAAAAAGAACAGGAAGACAATAGTTTTAATATCTACAGCAGATCTGCCATACATGATAGCTTTTTGAAACCAATCAACCCAAATCGTCTTATTTATTTATTTTTATTATTTTTTTTGTGAGGAAGATTGGCCATGAGCTAACATCTGTTTCCAATCTTCCTCTTTTTGCTTGAGGAAGATTGTTGCTGAGCTAACATCCATGTCAATCTTCCTTTGTTTTATGTGGGATGTTGCCACCACAGCATGGCTTGACAAGCAGTGCTAGGTCTGCACCTGGAATCCGAACCCGCGAGCCCCTGAAGCAGAGCACGTGAACTTAACCACTATGCCACCAGGCCAGCCCCAAGCAACCCAAATCTTGAGGGGCAGCAAGAGGAGAACATATTGGATATGAGGATGAGAATTCAAGTCCTGGCTTTGTCACTTAATAGTCATGTAACCTCTCTGGATCTCAGAAAAATGGAGGTCATGATATCTGTCTTACCTAACTTAAAGGGTTCCTGTGAAGATCAAATCAAATGGATGGAGACTTGGTTTACAAACTGTTATTACACATTGTATAATATATTGTTATTCTTAGTTAACCAGAAATGGCACAGAGTGAAAGCTCATGTTAAATAAATGTGGCTAGTAATTCTAAAGAATGTTAAATTCTAAAGTGCTGTCACTTTTACTTTCATCTCCATTTGAACGATGAGGAAACCAAGGCGTAGAGAAGATAAGTGGCTTGGTGAACGTTATAGTGCTAGCTATGGCATAACAAAGAATGGTACTTAATTAAATTGATTTTTGGCCCAAGATAGAAGCCACTCCCTCCTCTCCAAGCATGCAACCAGTAGAAATACTAATTATGGTGCCAGCCATGTCCACTGCCTCTTCCCCACCTGCCCAACAGACAGCCCACTCAGTCTGTGAAGGATTGGCCAGCTGTTCCTTCTGCACTGGAGGTCGCTGACTGAGGACACCTGTAGGGCTGATTTAATTAACTGAATCTTCTTGAGAAGGTCCTTCTGTGGCTTGGATGTAAGGATAAGGTGAGGATGGTTTTTTGAGCCGAAGAGGAGAGTGGAGCCGACGCAGAGAAGTGTGGAGGAGAGACGATGAGAGAGAAAAATGAGAAGAGCGCTCTATCGCCAGGGCTGCTTTAGACCCCAAGAGTTCTCAGGTCTAGTTCCTGTTCCGATCTCTGAATATCCTTTAAGCAAACACCGTATTTTAAAGTGGCCTGCACAAACCTCTGTTTCTTACAGCCAAAAAAGTCCAACTTGATGGGTGCTGAGCACTTCTCAGCTTCCCTGTCGGTATTCCTGCCTCTCATCCTTACGTCCATCCGATCTATTTCACATGTATTAATCTTACAGGTAGACTTTAAAGTACAATCTAAACATGTCAGTTTTCTAATTACTAGTCTTCCATCGCTCCCAACGGCTGTGGAGTAAAGTTGAGACTAACCAGCATGGCCTTCAAAGCTAAATACTGCATGGCACTTAAGAAATGGTCCATGGATATCAGCTCTTATTGATACCTGTTCAGCCTTATTTCCCACAAACCTTTCATAGTCTATACTATCTATATATATCAAGTGATTTGTCGATTTTCTGCTTTCAACAGAAAAATATATAAGCAAAGCATACATGCTATTTTTCAAATATAAGAGGTAAACATTATGAACATAAGGATATCCTTGGCGTCTCACTTCTTCCAGCCTATAAGGGGTTGGAATTATCTAATTGGCTCCTAGGCCTTTATAAAGTAGATGAAAGTAATTGATGAGGGACAAAACTGGAGCAGCTAAGGTAGATGGATTTATGTTAGAAAGAACAGAGAGCTACTGATGGAGGAAAAATTATAGGTAAAAAAAAGAGGCAGAGAAAACAAAATCCTGTGCGTAGGCTGGGTTGGGAGGCTGGGTTTTGGAGGTTTTGGAGTGGGGAGGAGAGAGACTTTGGAGCAGCTGCCATGCATGGCCATTCTTGTGGGAGATTTGGGAGAGAAATTATGAAAGAGGATAGTGTAAAATTTTGCCATGTAATATGAATGCAACAAACCGCATCCCCTGCCTTGGCATTTTCTTGAACACTGCTTTAAAGATTTAATTTGCTTTTCAATTATTTTTACTGCACAGACCGATATCCAAGACATTCCAGGCTAGAGCTGGTTATACAATCATACTATGCATCTTCACACCCCTGTTCATCTTGCACCCACAATTTATAGTTCCCTCCTCTCTTTTATCACCAGTTATCCAAATTCTACTTATATGCAAGGCTGTTTAGATGGCAGCCCTCACATAAAACCCCCTTTTGATCTGCCAAGACAAAATTAATAGCTTCTCTCTTTACTCTCCCTTAACACTTTCCTTTGCCTTTATTACAGCTATTATAGCAGCTGTCTCCCTCTGCCTTGTCTCTCGTCTATCTCTGGCACTAATTTGTAAGCTTTCCTAGGGCAGAAACTGTCTTAAGCATATTTGCTTAAGTCCTATAATGCTGTGTTGGTTAATTTTGTGTGTCAACTTGACCAGGCCACAGGGTGCCCAGACATTCAGCCAAGCATTCTGGGTGTGTCTGTGAGGATGTTTCTAGATGAGATTAGTATTCAAAAATCAGTAAACAGAGTAAAGCAGATCACCCTCCCTAATGTGAGTGGGCCTCAGCCAATCAATTGAAGGCCTGAATGGAACAAAAAAAGGCTAAGAGGGAACTCCTGCTGCCTGACTGCTCTGAGCTGAGACATTAGTCTTTTCCTGCCTTCCAACTTGAACTCAAATATTGTCTCTTCTCGGGTCTTGAACCTGCTGGCTTTCAGACTGGTACCAGACCACTGGTTCTCCTTATTCTCCAGCCTTGGGACTCAAACTGGAGCTAAGCCATCTGGGTCTTCATCTTGCTGACTGCTGATTTTGGGACTTCTCAGCCTCCATAATCAAGTGAGCCAATTCTTTCTAAATCTCTCTCTCTGCATACACACACATTCTATTGGTTCTGTTTTTCTGGAAAACCCTCACTAACAGAAATTTTGGTACCAAGAAGTGGAGTACAGCTGTAATAAATACCTAAGCAAGTGGAGGAAGCTTTGGAATTGGGTAGTGGGTAGAGGCTGGAAGAGTTAGAAATATGTGTGTTAAGGGCAATTCTGATGAGATCTCAGATGGAAATGAGGAGTATGTTATTGAAAATGGGAGGAAAGGCAATCCTTGTTATAAAGTGCCAAAGAACTTGGCTGAACTGTGTTCTAGTGTTTTGTGGAAGGTTGAACTTGTGAGTCATTAAGTTGGATGTTTAGCTGAGGAGATTTCTAAGCAAAGTGTTGAACGAGCAGATTGGTTACTCCTGACTGCCGATAGTAAAACATGAGAAAGGAGAGGTGAATTGAAGAAGGAATTGTTAAACAAAAAAGAACCATAACTTACAGGTTTGGAGAATTCTCAGCCTATCTATATTGCAAAAATGAGAAAGCTGTACTGAAGGGAACACTAAGGGTGTGGCTGAACAACCATTTGATGAGGAGATCATAGGTGCAGGACTTTACGAGCTTGATAAGCTACCTCAGCAGAAGCCAGGAACAGGGATGGGGCTAAACCAGCAGAAACACTGACTCTGGGGACAGAAAAACTAAAGGGGATAGAAAAAACGAGATAAAATTGAAGGAAGGCTGTCAGACTTCTTAGATCCTACAAGACTGGACCATAGAGTTATTCAGCTTTGAACACTTGCTATTCTTCCAGAAAAGGGAAGAATAACCCTAAAGGTGGTTCAGAGATCATCAGGGCTGCCTCCTTGGTTTCAAAGGGTGAGACCATTGCCTCTGTTTCAATAGGCCAGAGGGCCACTGATAGAAGCCTTAGAGATGGGGCCACCTGGAGGCTGGGGGGGACTTCCCAGCCTCCAGAACTGTAAGGAAATAAATTTCTGTTGTTTAAGCTGCCGAGTCTGTGATATTTCGTTACGGCAGCCTGAGCAGACTAAGACGAGTGCCTAGTGCTATGTTTCTACAGAGGAAAATGCTATGTGTTGAGCAGATGAATAAATGAATGAATGAATGGAAATCAGTAGAAATCAAGGCACTGTTTGAGATAGCAGTTCTATCCAAAATGATTGTAGGAGTGGGGAACATTTGGCAGCATTACCACGTGTAAATTTTGGAGAAATGTGAGCCAGTGAAAAAGAAGGCAATGAAAACACACAAAGATTCTCAATAAAATTGTGGAGCAAATGTAGCTATGTTAGAGCAAGGGTAAATTTGATTGCAGTTTATAAAGTGCCATTAAAGTTGAATTGAAAAATTACTTTTCAGAAAAAATACATGATTAGCACAGTTTATGGAGAGAAAGAAATGATAATGACATGTCTTAGTTCAGTAATTGTGCTACCAAATTAATTTTAATGTGTTGGCCTTGAGCCCACAGGTGGAGAATTTGCTGAAATATCTCTGAGAGAAGTTAATGACTAAAAGTAGGCAGCTGTGGAGTGCCCCAGGGACCCACCGCAGGCTCTAGCCCACTCGAGGTTGCATTAAAGATGTGACAGATGGAATGAGTATAATGTTGATTAAATCCCCTCCCCAGATCAAATTAAGAGGAGGAATAAAGGCCAGTGAGAACTGAAAAACCCCTGGGGATCTAATCATTGCTTTGCACCCAGAAAGCAATCAATAAATCCTTATTTGTTGGGTGAATAAATGATGGTTAAAAGTGATAAAATGAAATTTAGTTTGCAAGCAACAGCGTATAAACACTGTTTCTCACAAAAAAGAAATCTGTATTCAAACTTGCAGACAAATATTGGCTCAAGGAGCTATGTTCTAGGAAACACAGTCTGGCCTGGTATGACTCTCCAGGCCTCTTAA